GATCAAAGAAAAATCAAAGAAATAATTACATTTGCTAACACATTTTTGTGCTGTTTTTTCCACGTTCACCTATTGCTTAAAAGGTTTATTCCGATAATAAGGGAACAAACTAAAAACCGATCTCATTCGCTGGGGAGAAAATTTTTATATGAGTTTTAGTAACCATTTGAAAGCTGAGACTTGAGGTCACAGCCCCAAGTCGTCGGTTTTCAAAACACCCCTTCATAATGTTGTAGCATTCAGATCAAAATCATCTTCATACTCGTCTTCTGCCTTCATTTTTATCAGGCGTTCGCGGAAAGCTAAAAAGCATATCATTGTGTAGATGAATTTTGGTAGTATCTTTGTAAGTCGTTTTATTTGGAGTTTCCTTTAAAGCAGAGGAAAAATTCCCTATTGAACAACAATATATCGATCGTTCCGCCTCGCCTCGCCCTGCCGCACTCCTGGCACAGTCCTCACCTTGTCGAATTGCCGGTAAATAACCTTGACAAAAACGTGAAGCTAGATTCTGTCTTCCCTGCTAAATCGTATTTCGAAAAAATAAGCACATCGCTAAAATCAGAAAACATTGTTCGATCAAATCATTCCCAATAGTCTAAAGAAAGAGCTCTGTTCGGCGAGATTTAAAGCACAAACCAAAAGACTAAAGAAGATCAAAAAACTGAGAGACCTTTTCAAAAAGCAAACACATTTTTGAGCTCTTTGAAGCTTCTGTTATAGTTCTTGTACTAGCAGTCTGACTAAAGAGTTTGTTCCAGCGAAATATAAGCGAGATAGAGGAAGAAAAACACGTGGTTTTATGAAAAATGATTTTATTCTAAATATTACAGTATCATAAAGGGGTGCTTTGAAAATTGGCGATGTAGGGCTGTAGCCCAAAGTCTCAGCTTTCGAATGGTCATAACACTCCTATGAAAAGTTCCTCTCCAGCGAATGAAATCGGTTTCTCATTTGTTCTCTCTCAATCACCAAGAACCACCTCAAAGCCGTTTGTCGGGTCTTTATCATCGCGTGCACACTGCTACTGATTTGTTTACCAGATTATACTAACTAACTGTGCTGTATAGTTGTGATAGTGCAGAACGAGTAACAACAGAGCACGTGCCATTGGAGGGATGACACTCGAGCTTAGCTCTTGCCCGAAGTTCAAAGTTTTGTATACAACTCAACGTTATATTGGATATATAGTAATAACACCACAAAAATGTTTCAAAACAAGCTCGCGTGGTATACAAAGCATAGCTTTTTATTGCTTCTGACAGAAGAGTGTAGTAGAAGGAGCTGATCTAAATCATGAGCCGCGTTACGTGCGGCATAATTTTTGAACGTCCGTTCGATGGAACGTGGCGGCAAGTGAGGCTTAAATGTGAAGTGAGTGTGAGAATATGCTGCAAAGACGACGGCAAGTATGATAGAAAAGACATATGGAGCTGTAAATATTGAGTATTTAGTCACAACAATCAATTCCACAATACATTGTAATGATTCACATGGTTGCATTTCTTATTAACTTTTTTTATTGTGTTCTCTCATCAAATTTATAAGAACTTAAGTACTTGTATCATTGGTATGTTAGTTTCTGTATAACACATTCATGACTTTGCTGTTCCGACCACTCAGGGTTGACTCTTGATAATTTTAGTATCTGTGAGCCTGGAAATTCAGCGATTTTTTGACTCAGATTTTGATCTATCGCTCCAAAAACGGAATTTGTGAAAAGTTGCCACGTTTTTCGACTTTTCAAGATTTGAAATATTCGGAATCTTAGGCAAACTTCGATTGTATGCATCAAAAATAAAGTGTCCTGCAATACTATGATCATTTGCATAAAGAAAACAATTTTATTTCTGTAAAATATAGAACTTGCTTCTTATTGTCAGAAATTTGAAGGCTCTAACGAGCTCTCTTAACAAATAAATAGATAGGAATCAATGTAAAAGAACTGAGTTCGTTATCAGATCATGGAATATATCTGTTTAAAGAAGAGAGGTGAAGTAGTCAAGTACTTATAGATTCGAATCATACTATACTGTAGCGATTATGCTGCTCGATTTCCAGTAGAGCTTACAGTTATAACTGATAAATGCCGCACAGTTTTGCTTAATTCTGTAAAAACTCATTGCTTATAAAATGTATTACACTTCTGTTTGAAGTATAATATTTATCACTACCGCATCCTAAGTCTGCACAACTATCACGACGAAAATTTCCTCAGATCCTACAACTAGAATCATTTCAAGTCTCATGAAAGGCGACGAGGCAAATTTCCCAAAATCTGCGCTTACATCGTTTCCTCCAAAAGCTCTGAAAAAGCAGCAGCAAATGAAACAACATCAATTAGAGGACTTTTTTGTAGTAGTATTCAAGGCAGTGTTAGACGGCGAAAAATGACATAAAGATTCTTTTCGCTGGACAAGAATTCTTCATAGAAGTGTTAGTAATCTTCCGAAAGTCTAAACTTCTGGCCATAGCTGCACGTAGCCATTTTTTGGACGTCGCAAATTTCAAAATAAACTTATGTTTCACACCCTCCGCGCACCTTCACTTGGCTCACGCATATGATTTGCTGGAAGGATTGAAAGCATATTATGTTAGAGAATGTTTCGTAGTATCTGAGTTAATTGTTCTATATGGAGTTTTTTTAAGGCGGAAGAAAATTTCTGAAATGAAAGCAAGTTGTACCCCACATATTTAGCGCGTATCTATCAATCGCTCAGCCGGCTCCTTAAATGGCCGGAGCACGCTCGTCTAATATGTGAAGCTCGATGTTATTTTCCACGCTACACTGCAATGAAACGCTCTTTTCCGGAAAATAAGCAGAGCGTTGGAATCACTGAAACCTACGCTTTCTATTGATTATTAATAGTCTAGAGAAAGACCTTTGCCCGGCAAAGTGTAAAGCACAAATCTTTACATTCTCTTACACCTCTATCAAATGAGCTTTTTCACAAAGCAAGCAAATTTTTGAGTTTTTCGAGAAATATGTTATCGAAGTAGTACTAACAGTCTAAATGAGATGCTTTGTCCAGCAAAATATAAGCGAGATAACAAAAAAGTGTGGTCGTGTGTAAAGTGTACAGCATTATCAAGGAATGTTTGGAAAAATAACGATGTGCAGCCGTAGCTAGAGTTCATATGATTAATAACTCTCTATGAAAGCAATTCAAAAGTTCGACTTGCTATAAACCTCGGCATAATCAGTTGTTTTATGAAAATCGAAAAAACATGTCTCGATTAGCTGAAGCGAGGATGATAAATAGTCGTAGAAGTTCGGCTGAGGTTTCGGTGACCCGCCCTCTTCAGAGCCTGGGCGTATGTAGTATTAGTCTATTTGAATGATTCAGATAATGTCAGATGTATGCTGCCTAGGTCAGGTTAGAAGATCAAACGAAGAGAGGGCGCGAGTCTCGTGTGATGGTGACGCGCTCGTCCTTCCGGTTCATTTTGGGATTTTGGGCGTTTATCCAAAGTGCCTCAAGAGTTTTGCGCATGAGATGTTTTTGATTCCTGCGCTAGGATTGTGACAGTGACATCAAAATCCTTGTTGTTGTGTTCTTGTGCCCTATGTAAACCTAAAGGTTTGTTTTATCCATTTTAGATTTACTATCTAGATGTTCTTTTATGCGGGAAACTGGTCTACCCGTTTTGTCACGATATTCTTCCCCGCATGTTTTACACGTTAGTGAATAAATTGTGCCTGATCTCATACAATCCGCCTCTTTTCTGTCAGGGCATATCATACAGTTTTTGGTGTTGCACAATCGATCACAAAGTCTATTGCGGATCAGCTGATGACGTAGGGTGGGAAGTGGGATTTTGATAACTACCACAGAATTTTCAAGACTTCATCTTTTTAGGCACCTTTTAACCGCGCTACTAATTTCGTTTGATATAAATGGCAGTTTGAAGGGAACTATATTCAGGTGCGGAGTATTGTCCTTTTGGTACCTAATTCCACTTTTTGAATATTCCCGAGTGGCAAATGTTCTGTAGCCGTTGGAAATGGCAGTTTTTCGTGCCAAATTTAACGATTCGTTCCTTTCCTCTTCTCCTGTGCACGGATTTTTAGGTGTTCGAATCATGTTTTTAATTAGGGTTTTTTTCATGGGTGAAGAATGAGAGGAAAGGCGATTGACCAAAATGCTTTTGTTACTTGGTTTTCGATACCATTTTGTACTATAGCCACTATCCAAAAGCTTTACTTGGATGTTTAAAAATGGAAGCCAGCTCCGGTTTGGACTTTCTCGCGTAAATTTTATATGCTTTGACTGTCCGTTCAACACTTCAAAACATTTGTCCATTTCCTCTTGTGTGGAACACACAATGAAACAATCATCTGTATACCGGCAGTAGAGCAATACGCGGTGAACGAGAACTGGAGCTTCCACCTTATATAGAAGATGGCAAGACTATGTGCCAAACGTTGACCCATGGCTAACCCCCCGAGTTGTATGAAGTATTTTCTCGACCACCGCAAGAGTGAAGAACCATGACGTTGTTTTGAGAGGGTCATTAGTTGTTGAATTGTGAAGCCGTACATATTTACTTTTTGTTCATTTTCAGTTAAAAGTTTGAAAATGGCTTGCATTGCAGAGTCATTTGATACGTATGTATAGAGTGAAATAACATCAAATGGCTTTATTACGTGCGAATTGTTTGGTTTCGCGCAATGTAGGTGAACCAGGAACATTTAGGTATCGGGTAGATGGGTTGGTATTCTTCTGTAGCGATTATTCTGTGTAGAATGCTCTTCTTATCGCTTTATCATGCACGACTTTTCCTTCACTGCAGTAGATCAAGCTGTGAACTTGGGCAATAAAACCGCTATACGTAAATTTTAATACGACAACATCAAGACACCGATATCGATAGACCAACAGAGGACTTGGATAGATACTATGCAATCAATAGTTGGAATTATTAGAAATGAACGATCCTATGAGTAGTGCGAAGCAGGCTCCTGAGGTATATATGCTGTAGCAAAGGCGCCACCAAATGCATTGATGGCTTAGTGGTAGGACGCTTGCGTTGCATCTGGGCGACCCGGGTTCGATCCCCGGTCACTGCACATTTGGTCCACACCAACCACCGTTCCATCTGGCCGGGACCGGGGTCACCCAGACGGCAGGCGAACGCTCTACCACGAGACTACAAATGCATTTATTGGTGGCGCCTTCCCCACAATTTTAGTGCATCGGCCGGGAATCGAACCCGGGTCCTCCGCGTGGCTGGCGAGCATTCTACCAATGAACCACAGATACACATTTGGTGCACTGGGCTCTGGAAGATCGAACTGTCTGTTAAGATTGGTGACAGCTGGGTGCTGCGCTCTCCACTTGGACCATTTTCTGTCTATGGTCCTCGAACCTCTGCGATACCACTTGCTCTCTAAAATCATGGACCATCTGCGTTGCCTAAATTATCATGTAATTCCCGAAAAGATAGCAAAACTCTCTTGGGAGGTTTGCTACATGTAAAGTAGATTAACGAGCAAGCATCAGTATTCTACATGTGAAGTATAGCGGAGAACAATATTTTGTATTACAGATGTAAAGTGTGATAAGGGTGAGTCTCTATATTAGTCATGTGGAGTTAATGGAGAGTGAGATTCTGTGTTATAGATGTGAAGTGTAATAAGGGAAAAGCTTCTTTGTTATACATGTAAAGTGTGATAGGGAGCAAGCTTCTACAGGAAAGATGAGTTGAGAATCAAGAGGGATGGAAGTTGCAGCCGAGCTCCAAATGGCGTCCATAGCCAAATGGCATTTTGTGGGCATGACGCTTTCCAAGATTCTTGTTTGCGTTAACCTATCAGTAGTTTTCCAGCACAACACTGGTCAGCTACTGTGGGAAACACGTCTGTCCATAGAACCAATCACTGCGTTTTGAATAGTTCACCCGCACAACGCTGGCTATCTGGTGCGCGAAACAGGTGCCGCTTGCACCGGGATACTGCAGCTGATTGTGCGGGATACTGCAGTCGGCAGATCAGCGTGGGATACTCGAATCGGCTACTATGACTGACTGCCTATTCAATAACTATTATAATTATATGCAAGTAGATAACTTTGCTATTCATGACTATGTGCAATGAGAAAAATAGCAGTTATTCGAGAGAAGAACTGTTATATTGCCTCTGCTTTACGCTTTTGAAAGCTCTTCCCTCTCGAATTGTTATTTGAAGTCGCTATTTTGATTTACATCCAATTTTGAACTTATGGAACGAAATAAATGGTGGAACTATATTGATTATTCAAAGCATAATTTGAACAGCCTAAAATTTCTGTAAATTGAGTTTCAAAAAGAGCGCTCTATGACAGTTGTTGAATAAGAGAAAGGCGTTAAAAGTAATCATGGTCAAACTGTTCAAAGCAAAATTCACTTATAAGTCTTATAGCAAAATCGGTTATTGTTTCCGCACTGGCGTGGTTGTAACTTCAGCTATTAGTCGGAGCAATACCTCTGCTTTACCAATCGTAATAATCATTGATAATGCCCGAAGTTTGATTGTTCATTTGAGTGATGTTGCTAGTTTGAAAAAGATGCTTCCGTGCTGTAAAGTAGTTAATGCGTGAGTGTTAGCATTCCTGTAAGACGTTCTTTTGCCGTCGGTGTTTTTTGAATTTTTTTCTTATATCTTTCATTACCTAATTATCCTCAAACAAACACAATTCATTTCTGAGAAAGGATGGACAGTACGCGCGCTTCTTGGTAATGAAGTAGTTTTTCGCAATTTCTTAAGAAAAGTGCATATTTTAGTGGAAAAAAACGAGAAAGAAAAAACTAAGGAAAAAGTAGATTTAACGAAATTACGGAAAAAAGTGTACGCACGCATCTAATATCCAACACATGCTGCTCTTATTTACTGACATATAGAGTAGTCGGTTGTTTTGTTTGAAATGTTATTAATCAAAATTGTGTAGAAAACCGAGTAACACAAACATTTTAGTCGTTTACCTTTCCTCTCATCCTTCACATAAGAAAAAATCGCTAATCAAAAACATGTGTTGAACTGCTGAAAATGTGTGCAGAGGAGAAGGGGAAAGGAACGAATCGTTAAACTTGGCACGACAAATTGCCAGTTCCCAGCTACAAAACATTTGCTACTCGGGCATATTCAAAAAGTGAAATGAGGTCCCGAAAGAACAATACTCCGCACCTGAATAGAGTTCCCTTCAAACTGCCATTTATATTAAACGAAATTAATAGCGCTGTTAAAAGGTGCTTAGAAAGATGCAGTTTTGAAAATTTCGCGGTAGTTATCGAAATCCCACCTCCCACACTACGACATCAGCTGATCCGCAATAGACTTTATGATCGACTTTGTAACACCAAAAACTGTATGATTTGCCTTGACAGAAAAGAGGGGGATTGTATGAGATCGGGCACAATTTATTTACTAACGTGGCAAAAATGCGGGGAAGAATATATAGACAAAACGGGTAGACCACTTTTCACCCGCATAAAAGAACATATATAGGGCACAAAAACACAACAACAAGGATTTTGATGCGACTGTCACAATCCTACTTGAGGCACTTTGGATAAACGCCCAAAATCCGGAAATGAACCGGAAGGACGAGTGCGTCACCATCACGCGAAATCTCACTCCCATTCTTCGTTTACCTTCTAGCTTGATCTAGGCAGCAAATAAATAAGATCCTCCAAATCATTCAAATAGACTAATGCTACATACGTTCAGGCTCTGAAGAATGCGGGTCGCCGAAACGCCAGCCGAACTTCTACGATTAATTTACCAACCTCGCGTCAGCTAATCAAGAAAAGTTTTCTCGATTTTTATATAACATC